CTGTTGTTTCCTGATTTAACAATAATCCCTTTTCTTAAGTGTTCTGATAAGATATTTGTTAAAAGCAAGAGTAAAATGTTAGGTTCACTACTATTAGTTTCCAAAGTCTCAGCTGTTAGGAAGTAGATAGGGTGCCACTACCACTAGATGTGCAATAAACAGTGTTTGTGTTAAAAGTCTGAGATTACTTTTGTTCGAGACTGCTTTGCTCATTATAACTCTACTTGAGGAGCCTTCTTGAAGATTCACAGCAAAGCCCAAGCTAAGACTAAATATAAAGCTAGCATCCTAGTGGGATTTAAAACAAATAGAAGATAAAGAACCCTTCTTTTATCTACTGAAATGGCCACAACTTGAAGTGGATAATTTACTGAATTGCATTTCATTTCCTTGTAATATAGTACATGACATACAAGCAAGATTAGGCTCTGGGATTCAGAAGCAAAGAAACAGAAGTCTGTAGGTGCTCAGTGGATATTTATGCATTTAAGGAAAGAAAAACAACAACAACAAAACACACCTTTTTCCAGGGAAATTAGGAAAAAAAAAAAAAAGTCTGTATGCTGTTATTAAAAAACAGGCTTAATGGAATGATCATCACAATTTCCAGGTTTATCTAAACAACTCGATTTTCACTAGGTAAGCCACTAAGTCTTCCATGGCATAGGTGTACAAAACCATGACTAGTAAGTATAGATTCTATATGGAGAATACAGAATTTTGCTCTAAAGTTCTAAAATTGACAAATAGAAATTCTGTGCACAGGACAGTTTTGGGGAGTGAAAGCTCAGTAAGAAAGAAACACTAATTAAAAAGAAGGGGAATTTTGGCTTATCTATCTATATTTTCCCATGTCTATCACTAACTATGATAATGCTCTTTTTTTTTTTTCTGTTTTACAATGCTTTATGTTTTCAAGTATTGAAAGTAATAACTCTTGAAAGTTATTGAAAAACATTTGCAAGACAACACAGTCAATGGTCATAGCCAAAATGGCTTCATGACGGGAAAGTCCTGTTGAACTAACTTAATTTCCTCTTAGGGCCCAGTTACCCATCTAGGCGACCAAGGGAAGCCATCTTATGTAATCTGTTTTGATTTCAGCAGAGCTTTTGATATTGTCCCTCACAGTATATTTCTGGACAAAAAGTCCAGCATACAGCTGGACAAATACGCTATAAAATGGGTGAAAAATTGGCTGATGGGTTGTGCACAAGGGGCTATAGCAAGTGTGGTTGCATCAGGCTGGCAGCCAGTCACTGGTGGGGTTTCCCAGGGTCCTATTGTAGGGCCAGTTCTCTTTAAAATTTTTCATAAATGTTCTGGACACAGGACTTGAATGCATACTAAATAAGTTTGGAGAAGATAAAAAAAAAATGAAGATGTTGACTCCCTTCAGTATTGAGAGGCCTTGCAGAGAGATCTTGATAGACTAGAATGCTGGGCAGTCACCAACAATATGAAGTTTAACAAGAGCAAATGCCAGATTCTGCGCTTGAGACAGGGTAACCTTAGATGTATGTACAGATTGGAGGATGAGAGGTTAGAGAGTAGCCCTCTGGAAAGGGATCTGGGGGTTCTGATTGATGGCAAGTTGAATGTGAGTCAGCAGTGACACTGGCAACCAGGGGGGCCACCTGTACCCTGGGGTGCATCATGCATCATTGCTAGCTGGTCAACAGAAGGAATTGTCCCGCTCTGCTGTGCGATGGTCTGTCCTCATCTCGAGTGCTATGTGAAGTTTTGGTGACACATTATAAGAAAGATATAAAACTATTAGAGAGTGCCCAAAAGTGGGCCACAAAGACAGTGAAGTATCTGGAGGGGAAGTTGTAAGGGGAGCAACTGAAGTCACTTGATTTGTTCAGCCTAAAGAAGTCTGAGGGGAGGCCTCATCACAGTCTACAGCTCAATGAGGGAGTGTGGAGGCAGGGGAACTGATTTCTTTTCTCTGGTGACAAGTGATGTGACCCAAGGGACCAGTATGAAGATTCATCGAGAGAATTAAAGACTGGACATTAGGAAAAGACTCTCCACTGAGAGAGTGGTCGGGCACTGGAACAGGCTTCCTAGGGAATTGTTCAAGGCACCAAGACTGCAGGAGTTCAAGAAGTGTTTGGACAATGCTGACAAACATATGGTTTGATTTTGGGGTGATCCTGTGTGGAGCTAGGAGTTGGACTTGATAATCCTTGTGGGTCCCTTCCAACTTGGGATATTCTATGATTCTGTGTTTCAGTTAAGCTCCTAGCTGCTCAGCCTAGAATGTGTGCAGAGTGAAACTATTAGTTTCCAATGAAACTTTCATGTAAAAGTTGGATGTGAGATGTTTTTGACTCTAAACTTCAACTGCTTAAGTCTTCAGGCAGGTTCTCAAAAGCTTATTGTCCATTAAAGCTCTGTTCTGAGCCCTGTGTCCTTTTTTGGGGGTAGGTCTAGCCCTTAAGTTGTTGAATCATCTGGACACACTGAAACTTTCATCCTCCAGTGCTGAATAATAGCCACAGACATGTGTTATTCTCTGACTCATGTGGATTTCAAGGGGAATTTTGGATGTGCAATCATGTGTAATAACAATCATCAGTTGCAAGGTATTTTCAAAATGCACAGATATCATTTGAGTGCTCATGGACAGCAAATAACAAGATCCTGCATAAGTATATCAAAGAAAAGACAGTACTTATTTGAAAATCCATTTCTTTGTTATTAGTTGTAACCAGCTCTGCACTGTACATACTCCGTATGAAGACTCCCATCACCAGTAAACAGGAGATGAAATCTAATTGAAAGATTTATTTCCTGCTCCAATTTTAATGATATCTGTTGTTTTTTTCCTGTATATAAAGAAGTTGCACCTAGACCTGAAAAAGAAGTGAAGTAAAATCAGGAAATTATTACATTTCCTCAGCTGGATATGATTTTTTTTTTCTCTCTGCTATGAAGAAAGATGTTATATTTTGCTGGAAATAAACAGATTTCTCTGAGTGGTGAAATGAAACTTGTTTGTCACAGTAGAGGGCAGAGCTGAAGGTCAGAGCAAAAATTCTACTTAGTGTGACACATTTTCATGAACTGGATCATCCCCCTGTGATTGACAAATCTGACACTTGCCAGAAAGGGAGTGAGGGTGAAAGGGTATCAGATTTCCTCATGGTTCTGGGAAGGGGTAGGAAGGTATAAAAAGACTGATAGTATGGGCCTCTATGCATGAATTTAACATCACCAAGAAAAGAAAAAATAAAATAGCTGACTAAGTAGCACACCCCTAAGTCTGAGCCCTTAGAAGGTCAGGTAGAGGAATAGATGATTTCCAGTGGACTTTAATCACCTGCTGCCCTAGGGATCTCCTCCAACACCTTTTTTTTTTTTTTTTTTTTTTCCTGGAAATGCAAAGAAATTAGGAGATGCAAGTTTTATGTGAATGGAGGAGAGGTTTTGCCTAATAAAATAAATATATTAAGAAGGAAAGTTGCAGTTAGGTTTACTGACTAATCCAGACTAAAATCTTTCAGCAGAGTGAAATGAACTTCCAGGGTATCTTGAAATCTCCAAACACTGACTTGAAATATCAGTTTCTTTGTTTGTCTTTCATTTCGCAGTGAGGTTTTCATGTCTGTTTTTGCTGATTCATCTATCTGCCATGAATTTCTATCCTACAGTTCCAGCCCTTTCTGCAGTGGGCAGAGGAGAAACAGTAGACATCTTCTGTTTTAACATCATTGTTTAGACATTTTTGACATGTCAGTTTCATATGCAAGCTAGAGAAATATGGTCTAGAATAAACAACCAAAATTTTGATGCAAAGCTGGATGGAAAACTGTAATCAGAGAGTAGGATTCAGTGTCTGAATGCCTGCAGAGATGGAGACACCAAGATGGGAGAAAATGCAAACACAATGAAGGACAGAATTAGAATTTGAAAAAAAAAAAAAACAGTTACATCCCCTCTTACCATGGGCATCAACTCTAAAGTGTGTGACTTTACCTATTACTATTACTCTGTCCTACATGCTTCTCTGAGGATAGAAAGCTGCATCATCTCCTAGGTCTGCTGGTTTCATCACTGTCTTGTCTAATTCCTTCCCACTATGTTTTCTATGAACCATCAGACTCTGCCAGCCTTGCTTTGATTTCTTTAAGGACATCAAGGAAGAAGAGCTATGTAGTGTTGCAGGGAGAGGTGGCTGTTGATTTTTTTTCCCGAGATCTTTTTCTATAGTCGTTACTGCTTTGATGAATTTTCCTACTGTATCTTGAATTCTGCATCTGTAATTCTCTGGAAGAGGAGAGATTAGAGAAGTCTGTGCTTGGGGAAGGTTGTTGGCTGTGGGTTTTTGTTGTTGTTGTTGTTGCTGTTCATTTGTTTGTTTGTTTTTGAGATACACGTGGCAGGTTTGGGAGTGAAGACCAAAATCTCTTAGATCTATATGAGCTCCACACTGTCAGTGGGCTTCAAAGACTCACGTTTTCTGCTCCTAAAGGGTGTAGATCTTGTTGAACTCAACCCATACATCCCTTTGACTTCAGTGAGGTTTAAATCAGGACAATGTATTTTTCAGTTTAATTCCTTTCTAGATTATCTTCTAGTTTTTCTTTTTATTCTCAGCTTTTTTTTTTCTTTTTTTTTTCTTTTTTTTTTTTTTCACTGTTATTTATCATAATTTATGAACCGTAAGAAACAGCAATTTCAGCAAAATAAGACTAACTTCTAAGACTGGGAGCTAGCTCTCTGGTGCAAATTCAGTTGGGAAATATGCTTCTACTGCTGTTCACCACTCTCAAACTCATCCTGTAAATCTTAATAAGGTATCAAATCTGGCAAGGAGGGATACCCTTGGGAGAGCTTTAATGATTTGACAGTACTAAACATGTGTAGAGGACAAGCAGGATGCTTTGTCTCTAGACTTGTAAAGCGTTACTGAGTCTTGTCAAGTTACAGACTTACATACTATAAATAAGGATAATGTGGCAATGAAAACAGAGGTGGAGAATCTGGAAACTCTTTATTATCAAGGCAAATATTTCTTTGCACCATTAATCCAAAATTTCACAGAATGACATTAGAACAGGGAAGTCAGAGGATTGCAATAAGGAGATGAAAGGTCAGGACTTTTGTGGTTTATTTACTTGCATTTTGGTTTTGCAGGGACAAGGATCAACTTATTCACCATGAAAGAGTTTCAGAATTGCTCATATATCAGAGATTATGTTTCTTTCTCCACTTGTCAACTTACTTTCTCAAACATACCTAACAATATAATCTGAGTGCTTCCCCAGATGCATCATACATTTTATTACAACTTTTTTTCTTTTTTTGGATGATTTGATAAGGACTTTGTTTTGGCATCATTTAGCCTTTTTATCAAGATAGAGTTCTGCATGTTTCTCAGACAACTTCTCTTTACAACTCTGCTTCCTCATTGCAGTTTTGATAGCCATAAAATATAATTTTCTAAAATTGGAGAACAAGCTGATATGCTTCATCCAGCAGAGCTGCAGGCTATTTTTCATGATTGCAATATATTTTGTTGATTGTGATGAAGCCAAAAGATTTTTAAGTAGGAAAAAAAACTGGGGGGAGGAGAGGAAAGCAATAGCCTCTTGCTTTCTAATTCTTGCAGAAGCTCCTGAAGGATAGTAAAGATGAAGGTGTCTTACAAAATTATTCTTTTTCTGAGTTATGCTGAGGTGGGTGAGTATTTTTCTTCTTCTATTGTGCATTTGCTTTAATATTTTCTCTCTGTTTTAAAATTGTTGATTATTTATTGTTGATTATTTAAAAAATTGTTGATTATTAAAAAAATTATTTATTACAGAAAATTATTTCTAGGGAAGCTTATTAAACAGCACCTGCCATTCAGATCTCCTGTTATAATGGCTCACCAAGACAGGAACTTGTATGGTGCTGTATATAGGAAGAAACTTAGGTACAAAGGGTAAAGTATATTAAGCAAACTAGAAGGAGAATAAACAAAAAGATAGAGATCTTTTGGCTTTCAAGACAAGGGATGTTAAAGGGATGGATGTCTTTATTTGTATTTGATTTCCTTAGGATTATCATTTCAAGTGATATGCAAAGATCCTACAAACAACTGTGGAACTGCTGTTCCTCATTGTTCTTGTGGTTCTTCTGAGATGGTGGAAGTTTGGTAGAAGTCTACAAGGTTGTGTCCAGGCTGCAAGAGAACTCCAGCAGGAAGTATACATGCTTTTTTTTTCCCTGGGATTCAGACAAGAACATTATCAAAGAACAGAATACAACTTCTACATCTTATTCCACCAAGTAACTCATTTTCCCCAGCTTCCATTTGTTACTGTTATTATATAACAAAAATATTTCCCATTGCCTCTGGCCTTCAAGAGAACATTATGCAAGGTATTAACAGTGGGTCCTGCAGAAAGATCCAAGGAAGATATGGGGAAGTTTGAATCTCTAGCGATTTGTGTTTTGTTTTTTTAAATAGATGCATTTACAAGGCATAGGCCCTCAACATGAATAAGAATCAGCTTTTTTTTTTTTTTAAAGTGACCCCATTAAACTTAATTAAATTCAATAATTAATATATATATGCTATATATTTTTTATATATATTTTTTTTTGTGGGGGGGGGGATAAAAAGGTATGTTTGAATTAGTTCCCTGCCAAACATGAAATAAATAGAAACAAGTCCACTTTTATTTTTCCTAGGAGCGTTCACAAATGTAAGTCAGTTAATCCACTTTCAAGTCACATTTTTTGTTAAGTCAGGCTCATTCTCCTGATTGCCCTTATTTAGATAGGTCTTTGGAAATGGGCTCCAGTTGCAAAGCTCAGGTTAGGATGTGAATGTAAATTAGTGAACTTTAAGCCTGCTGTTGGGATCCTGCCTAGGTCAGGCCAATGTAGCTTTGCCCAGTTAACCTCTTTTGCCCTTAAGCAGCAGTTCCTTTAACATCATTTTACTGTTATTAATGCTGCTACTTCCTGTAACTTTTCAAGCAAAGAGACATTGGGCTCTTGCGAGGTAAAGCCCAGCAGTGGCTAATAGCAGGGCTAGTGGCACTGCTGCTGAGGAAAATAGTAGTAACAGCAAGAAACACAGATAAAATTGACACTGAGCCTCTGACATGGTAAAGATTAGTTTCCAATGAAAATTACTCCCTTGTGTAAACCAGCAGCAAGACCGTCGAGGGGATCCTGCCGCCAGCATCCCCCTCATGGAAAGAGAAACCAAAAAACCAGGCAGGTTTTTTTTTGTTTGTTTGTTTGTTTTGTTTTTTTTTTTTTTTTAGTGAAGCTAATATTTTGCCTTCTCCTTCCACAGGTTCAAATTTGGCATTTGAAATCCTTATTTTCATTGCACCTGCCTCTTCCTGCAAATTCACATCACCAGGTGCAGAAGCACCTTGCAAATACATCCTCTGGAAATACCTGTCTGGTCTTTGACCTAAGACATCACTTTATGTGCACTCAGCCCCAGTTCAACCTTCTTTCTGAATGTGTTTGTGCTCCAGCATCAGGGGTAGGGTCTTCCAAGAGAAGAGACCATTTGATACATTCCTAGAGGAAAGATGTCCTAGGACATATGTGAAAGAGAGAGTCTAAGGTTTATTGTACAAGGAATTGCATGGAGACAGGCAAAAAATAACATAAGAATCCTGCCTGGCTTACGAGAGGAGAAAGATGTATGGTACCAGGGGATATTGTCTCCCATGAGAAATAAAGTGAGGAACACTGCTGTAGTGGGTCTCTATATTTTTGCTCAGGAAGGGGTTTTAATTCCCATTTTCTGGACTACAACAAATCAATTTGAAAAAGGGAACTTCAGACCAAAGTGATGATGCTGTTCTTCCCAGGGTAAATGTGGGCTGAGCTTAGAAGGTGACTTGTATTGCAGTGCTAAGTGCTGCTGCAGTGCAACCAGTTCTTCTGACCAAGTATAAAGTTATCAAACAAACCACTAGAGTCACACTATAACAATGACCATTTCTCCTAATTTAGATATAAAAGGGACTGACACTACAGGCAAGATGATTCACAGTGCCTACAACTAACTCTGGAGACTTGCCAAGATCTAACCAACTCCAGAGCTTACTATGAGCACAAGAATAGCAATAGTGACTCCTGTGAGAGGACTCAAAGGAATGGCATGAAGCTGCTTGAGGGGAGGTTCAGCCTGGATATCAGGAAAAGGTTCTTCACCAATAGGGTGCTCAAGCACTGGAACAGGCTCCCCAGTGAGGTGGTCAGAGCACCGAGCCAGCCGGAGTTCAAGAAGTGTTTTCAACAATGCTCTGAAACACATGGTCTGATTTTTGGGTAGTCCTGTGTGGATGCAGGAGTTGGACTTGATGGTCCTTGTGGGTCCCTTCCAACATGGGATATGTCATGTCATTCTCTGATTCTTTGTGTGAACAGATGTGCCTAAACTTACACATGGATTATCTGCCTGCACGACTGTAGCCCAGTGGGCTAAAACTACGGGAGAATCCGCAGTGTATACCTGTAATCGTTGTATTACGCTGTGCGAACATATAGATGGGCTCTACTGGTGTCGCATTTCTTGAGCTCTGGTGATAGATACAGGCTGGACCTCTAGTGTCAGAGAGTCATAGAATCATAGAATAATTTAGGTTGGAAAACACCTTCAAGATCATGAAATCCAACCACCACTATGTCCCTTAGTGCCACATCCATTCATCTCTTAAACACCTCCTGCTGACTCCACCACTTCCCTGGGCAGCCCATTCCAATGCATGACCACTCTCTCTGTGAAATGTCACTGCAATCACTCCTATGTTTCATTTCATTATTTTAGACCAATATCAAATGCTTCTATTTGATGAGTATCTTTATTTGCCCAGATGTTCCCAGTTCATGCCTCTAAGCCTGAAAAAAATGATGTGGAACTGCATAGGATATAAGATTATTATGATCTGAGTATGTAAAGTCTGGGGTAGCGTTGAGAGTCTGAATGATTTATAATCAGTAATTAGTTCCTGTTCTGACGACCTAGAAGCTGAAACTGTTAAAAAATAAATCAGCATGATGTTGCTGATACATTTTGATGCTTATATTAAATGTCATTCAGGCTTAAAATGCAAAACACAATAGGATTTTAAAAACTTGTCCAAACATCTTTGTATTACAATAATATACCTAGTTGCTTTCAGGGGGCGAATGAATGTGGTTTACTCTCTGGAGCCTACAGCATGGCCTAATCAAGTTGAATGAGTTACATAAATAGTACAGATACATAAAATGCAGGCATGGATATAGATGCATTACCTGCTTGTTCTCAGGGGCTAGGTAGCTGGGTTTTGACACCGATCTTTAAAAATATTTTCTCAGGCAACAGTCTAATTACATGCATTTTATTCAGCTCTGGTGGATTTACTATTAAATTTCATATTCCTTTCATACAGTCTCAGAATTCCTGCTTATCTCACTATCCGTTATACAATGACATGAAGACAAGTTTGCTTTTGCTGTTACTGTTTGCTTCACCGGATTTAGCCCTTTGAATTTCATACTGTGAGTTACAGAAATTATGTGAGCAGAAACGGTTTTTAAAAATATATGGACAAAAAGACAAAACATTAACACACTGATAAAAAAGGAGATGTAAAGCAAAGATAAAGGAAATCTCAGTGGTTGAACTTTAACAGATTTGAAGGCAAGATTTGGATAGAAGGGCCAGATTTTTTTTTAAATAAGTTCTGAAATTGGGGATGGTCTTGTGCTATAGTTAGTAAATCATCAGTGCTCAGTGTAGCTTCTGTTCCGGCTCTGTCATATATTTCCTCCATAGAAGTCATTTAATATCTTCCTGCTTCTGTTTTTCATCTTTAGGACAAAGACAAAATGTCTCATTTCTTACCCCTTTTTGAAAGTCTCATTTATCTATGTTACAAACTCTTCAAGCAAGGAGTATCTTTGAATATCAGTTTTATAATGCACAACACCTACCTGCAGTAGAGCCTAGACATGCTACTACAATAATAATAATAATCATAGAAATGGCAAGAGTAAACTTCACTAATTGAAAACTGGGGTCTCGTGATTTCATCTCTGCATGTGATGTTAACATGAAGATTTAATTGTTGTGTGAAATTCTTGTGTACTCTTGAGTGAGTAAGCAATCTATTAAACCAGTATCTGCCTAAAAGATTCCTCAGGATGTATGTGTAAAATTTTTTGGAGGAAATCTGAAAAGTCTCTGCTCCCCCAAAGACTCAAAAATCAGAATAAATTTGAAGTAATTCCCCAAATACAATTTTCCAGGTCTCAAAAATATACACATCCTATTTTCTGAGCCACTGTTTCAGTTCAGAGTACAGCTTCTCTCTTATTTCACAAATTGCAACCAAGGCTCTCTTCTCTTTCTTACCTTACGTGGAGAGGAAGTCTAGGGCACACAGAGAAACCATAATGAATAGCATACTTCTTTCTCTCTCCAAAAAGATTTATAGCTCAGTACCATCCCTTTCAGAAGACAGCTGTATTTCCCTTTTTCTAGACCATATACACTTGTTTTGCACTTCTTGGAGTGGTTCCCACAGGGAAATTAAATGACGGTTTTTGTGCCAATAGTTTTGTGAAAATTTATATATGTACATATGTGTACATATCTATGCAATTGGTATAAAATAAATCTAACTTTTTTATTTTATATATATATTTTTTTGCATCAGCTATGATACTAATCAGATGCAGGTATTAAGCTGGTTGCTGTTTGTTTGCCATTTTAACTTCGATCTGTGAGAATAAACTCATAATAGTAGCTACTACTCCTTCCTTACTCAGTGATTTAGTGCCTCAGGAAACGCTTGTTCATGAAACTGTTTTTTTTAGCTACCTGGACATGATGATATCTTGGAACAAGACATCACTGGAGACATTATTTCCTGTGTGTTGAAAATCAGTAACTAAACCAAATAATTTAGTTGAAATATGGGAGAAGTTAAGGCTAAACAATGGTATTTTTATTACTGAAATCACTGCAATATGCAGTCTTGCTCTCCTTTAGTCTAACACTGTGTGGTGAAGGAGGATACAGATATAAAATATCTGTGAAGTCTCAGGCTGGGGTAGGGAAGGTAAGGGTATTTTGCATTTGGCAGCTCTTATATCCAGGATCTAATACTTTGGGGAAAAAACAACAACAACAAAAACAAACAAACAAAACCCACAAATATGTATATTCTACCAAAAAGGAATACCATTTCAGAGGAAGGCTGGAAGGCTTTCCCTGCTCTCTCTCCCTCCCCTGCCCCAATCCTTTTCCTTAGCATAGGCCCATTTGCTTAAACAGATCTCAATTGCCTATTAAGGTTTTCCTATTCCTTAACTTTTTATACTTTTAAAAATATCATTTTTAATACTCCTGCAAAGGGTTAATGGCTCTTTCACTCTGGCTTTAGAAGTGCTGATGTTTCTTTGATAAAACAAAAAAGATTAATTTCACAACCAGGAAATGAAAGTCTTTACTGAAAGTAAATGCAAATTTTAAGTAGGGAGTTAATATTCAACTCTTAAGAAATCATTTACCTATTGTGAATGAAGGACTCTACGAAGAGCCACATAGGGCATAGGTTCAAATCCTGGTACATAACCTACTGAAATACGTGTTTCATACAAATAGACACTCCCGAGAATCCATCTTTAAGTACTCAGTAAGAGAACAATATGTGAACCTCACTCTTGATGGAAAACAGGCACGATGAGATCCAATTAACTTTGGGGTGATGGTAGTTTTGGCTTACTGGGATTGAGGGACAGTAAGATAACAATACAAGAATAAAAACTGTGTGAATGACTCTCAGAGGAGATTTTGGCTTATCGTTTCGAGTATTTGAGCAGAGAGAAAAGGAAAATACATAGTGTTACTATGACTATTATTCAATACTACTATCAGCATAGGAATTCCCTTTCATTCTTTTTGAAGGAGTTCCAATTCTTCTTTAAAAGTGGTTTCACATGAGAGAGAAGGAGGTCCGGGACATGATCTCTAGAAAGATGTGCACATAATTTCAGGAATAAAAAGGGTATTTGAGCACTTACCATAAGCATGGCCATGTGTCAGATTGTCTGCATAGTTAACTGCATCTGGAATTACAAGAATTGTAATGTAATTACAAGAATGCCCAGTTGCCCTATACACATATGTAGGATGTATTTACTTGTATACCTCCATGAAAGAACATCCACAAAGTCTATACCTGTGTGACTGATTCAGAGTTCTTGCTCTTGTTTCACCTTTAGGACTTTTTTGTTATATTAACAACAAGTGTCCTAACTCACTTGTGTCTATATAGAAAATACAAACATTTTTTCCAAAGAGTGGCAAACATCAGCTTGTGTATAAAACTATCTGATAAGCTGTCTTATTGTCATAATCCTTCATTTTTTTTGCCCTTCGTTTCTGTCCTAGTCATTTGTTCTTTCAAATTAGATCAGATGTTCTTGAACCATTTTTTTCTAGATTTGTTTAGTTCTTGTATAACAGACCTGTACTGAAGAAGTAAAGCTGAACTTGAATGACACAGGTTTTTACCTAACAAAGTTTCTCAGAAAAGTTACACAAGAACTGAGATCATTTGCACAAACTATGGATTTTCTCTCTGAATTTATACAACTGTATACTAGTCCATTCCAATAACTCAGATGTGTGAACACCAAGTTGTGAAGCAGACAATCGAGATCTCATAGAGGCAAAAATGAGAATCTCTAACAGTGTTTCTGAGGTGTTAAAAAGAGGTTTTCGTTGATAGCATACATGTTGTTCCACAGATAAAGTGTTGATATCACTTCACTTGTACTTAGAGTTTGTAGTTTTAAATCCCTGCCCTTCCTGTCTTCAAGCTAGGTGTTGTTGTAAACTCACATAGAAAAAAAAAAAAAAAATCAGATTCACAGTCCTAACCATGTATCACTGCACTCAAAGATTTGCATGTTCTGAACTTCTATACACTGATATTCAATGCTGGATATTTGTGTGCCAATCCATGAACTGTATGCAAAATTGTGAGCCTATGGGCTCTTTTTTGTCATTGTAAAATGGATTCTGGAAACATACAGAGTTAGGAACCAGGAATTATTTTTATTAATAGAACAGAAAAAAACCTACTCATCAGTGAAGGAGAACAGAAAAGGAGTAGAATTTTCAACTGAGGTACAGTTTATTTTAGGGAACTGAAGTGATTCTTGTCATGTGGTTCTTTCTGTTAGTTATTACAGTTATTTAAGACATAGTAGAAGGTTCAAGAATCCATTTCACAAGCTATATTACCTAGTATTTCTTTCTTTCTTTGTATGATTACTAGATATCTTCACGTTTTTCCCCAAATCTTCTCCAGATACCTCTAGATATGTCTGTTACTGACAGAAGATTCAGTGGTCCTTTCACATAGATCACTTTTACAGTGTTGGGCCTAACTTGGAAGCTCAGAGCATCTCACTGATATTTTTCCATGTGTCAAATCAGTGCCTTCCTCCATTCAGTTTGTTTTCTGTGACCTTGCCTTTTTCTAAAAATACTGCACACTCTAGCTGCTCGGAGCAATATCCTGTTCCCAGTGGAGTCAATTTTTGGCCTTTTTTAATAGGCTGTTGTAGAAAACTGTATCAAAGGCTTCCAGGAGGTCCCCGTAAACTATTTTAACTGGTTCTCCTTTATTCACTCTTTTGTTATTACAATAAAAGAATTCTAGCATATCTAGGACAAGACTTACTTTTTCCCCAAATTGTTCTGCTTAATCCCTGCTAACTGCTGTTCATGTGTGCAGTTTAGTTCCTCTATCTTTAATTAGCTTTTCAGCTATTTTACCTGGTACTGAAGCAAATCTATTCTGACTGCTTTTCCTAGAATCTGTTCCTTTCTCAAACTAGGTATCTCATTTACTACTTCTCAGTCTTCTACAAAAGAGCTAATCTTAATGAGCTTGTGGTTAGTGTCTCACAAGACAATGCTTTGTGTTTATGTCAGCTATTTCCTACCCCCTGGAGAGACTTAATCTTCACTTATATCTAAATGAAGATAAATGTGACTGATTAAATTGGCAATTAATGTTGTTTATAGAAATTATTTTTCAAGTGTTTGTAGTTCCTAACCCAGATTCTGGTTCTGCTTTGAGATGTCAAAGGTCTCCATGGTTAAACAGTATGGTCTAGTGTCTAAATCCAGGCTCAGACCCAGAGGCTTAGGTAGACTCATTTACTCGCACTTTCTACATGATATCTGGCATGTCACTTTATCTTCCCATGTCTCCTTTCCCTTACAAGTATCATAATAATTACCTTATTGAATAATATACTTTCAGACTCTTTGGTTAGATGTGTTAACATGGACCCTCTGTTTCTTTCTTCTGGATGGCTTATTGGTGCTCGGAGTGGCTGTTCCAGCAAGAGAGGAGAGTTTGAACTGTACCATATCTTACTTATATTGGTATTTTATGAGTTGAGTACAAACCTAATCTAGACTTTCACATTAGTGTAAACATGAAGTCATTACTTTCTAGATGTTGGAAATGAACAAGGATTTCATTTGTATAATTCATGTGAAAATTTTCCCCTCAACATCACTTCTTAATGTATTAACTCTGTTTCAGATTGCTGAATAAAACATTTCTTTCTTATATGAAGCAAGTCCTGTAGGTCCTATAAATCCTAAATTGACAAAAACAGGAACCTTCCATGGTGATAATGAAAAAAAATCACTGACAATAATCCAAATTCATAGTTTCTTCTGAAGGTTTGAAGATGAAAACAAAGGTACATGTTTTGTCTGTGAGAGTTTTTTCAGGAGGTCATAGGGAGAAGTGCCAGCAATTTTTAGTTATAGAAGCTGTCAGACAAATAAACATCAGTAAGTAAATTTAAAAAGAGCTCTGAAGACAAAAAGCTAGCCTTACTGAATCTGCCTTTACTACTTACTAGCTAACATTTTTATGTACTCTAGAGTGAAGATTTAACTAGAGTGCTAAAAACCTATATAAATACTCCCCAAACCTCTCCTTGTTATATAAAGCACCCTTCCATCCTCATAGCATAAACAAGATTTTACATGCATACCTTCTGTGCTTGCTTTGCTAAAGATTTGCTTGTACTTTATGTGAATATTAAGTGTGTTTGTTCCTGCTTTTTCCCCTGTGAGTTCTAATGATTTTTATTTTCTCAGTACAGTGCATATAATAGTGTCGTGGTCTAATGAAACCAGCAGAGGGTTGAGCTACTGAAATATCTGAACAGTAGCTCTAACTGCAGCTTGCTTAGGAAGGTCATTTTTGTAATGTAATTGTGGATCACCAGATGGCACTCTCGCAGACAGTATATTAAGTCAGAACCCTTTTTGTTAAAAGGGAAAAGAACATATAAATCTCTTTACACGTTTGCTTTGGCTAATCTCACCAGGTCACACCATTCCATTGACATCTTTTTGATACTGTCTCACAAATTTATTTTCCAGTTTCTAGTCAGGCTCTCTGTTCAAATCCAGTAAGTATTCTACATACATGTACATCTATGACTTTCACATCTCCTCCTAACTCTCTTCCCATTATATGAAACTTAACATTGTCCAAATTAAATGCAAAGTTTTTTGCCTCTAGTTCTCAATGTCATCATGCTTCATTCCCACATTTTATAGAAGTGAGAAAGTTGGACTTTTTTTATTATTATTATTATTATTATTATTTTATTTCCTTCCCCTCTCATTTTAAGTTGTTCTTGGTTCCTCTACAAAAACTTACATTAGGTTGAGTTTTGAGTAGCACAACCTCTTCACTGACTTTTCTGAAGCAGAATTCAGTGCAACAGGAATGTAGCATGATGGGATCACAGCAGAAGAAGGCAAGTCATGTCAGAGTTAACAAATACACCTCACTAAAACACAGCTTGGAACTGCAGTTTCTTGTTTAGCAGGAGGTAATATCCAGCTAGAGGTACTCTTTGATACAGTCAGACACTGTATAGTCACTATACTGTCAGAGGCACTCTCATCAGTCCGTCTACATATTTTGGGTGTACTACTGCTACGCTCTGCACACTGTTACAGTGGTTCCTGTTCAGTGACCTCAGGATGCCCATATCTCTCCGCAAATATCCCTGCGCTGTTCTTTTCCTCCATTTGTAGAAAAGGCTTTGGTTGGTCACTTCACTTCTCTTCTCTCTGTCAGTCTGTCAGTCCTGACCTCTGCTTTGACAGGTTCTCTCTGCAGTGATAAATTTCCCCCATTAAGAGTTACTGCAGAGCCTGCAGTAATATAATAGTATGCAAACAAGTTACCTTATACAGCATTCTTTGAGCCATTTCCCCTTCAATGGCCAATTCCCTACATTTTCTGAACAATGTATGTAATTTAGTCTGTGTGACTCCTATCAATTGCAAAGAGCTAAATCCTCACCTAAATCTTTGAAAATTTAGGGGTACCTTACCAAGTCTAGATTATGTATCACTTTAATCATCCTTATAAATCCAATTACGCATCTTTCAAATAAATAATGATGGGTTTTGCCTGAAGCTTTTACTGTTTCTCAATCTGTATCTATCAACTGAGATTTTATGTGCACTCAACAATTGTTATTCTGTTGTTAGGAATTCTGTTATTGCTGACTGCAATAACATTCATTCAAATGATATGGATATAAAAGATTCTTTGCTTCTCTCACAGAGCAGTTAAATTGTAAGACAGCATTAGTTAAAAACCAGTGTCACTATTATGAGAAGTTGTGTATCCAATTTTTCCCATTCTTATTCTGAAAAGGTTCTGGAAATGTTTGAGGTTTAAGTTAAAATAACATTTCCAAAATTGATGAGGCAATGGAAAAGAACTTCACTGTCCTCACCTAAAAGCTACATTAATAACAAAAATTAGAAGTTGTCTAAATCAGAAAATGAATTGAAATCATTACTTTTTTTCTCTCTCTTTTTTTTTTTTCAAATTACCAGATTTCAGTTCATTCAAATTAAGCTGTTCTACCTCTAACTGCTATTATATGTCCAAAGCTGAGATATATGAAAGAATCTGTGAGTGTATCTGTGAACGTATCTGAACGTTGACATGCCTGTCAGTTCATGAGCAGAGTCATGTTTGTGATGTTTTTATTTTTACATTCACACACAAGAATATCTACCTACCTGGTATTGTTATTAAAATACATTGCTATGACAATAACATCATTTTGTTATTATTTGTAAAGTCATTTGTATGCTTTAGATTACAATCTACTGCTGTTTAGTAAGTGGAACAGAATTCACCCTTTGTCAGCTTAGAGCTTGAATCCAAAATACTACAAGTCTCTAAACTTTCTGGTACTGGAACAAATATATTTGTGCAGCACCTGACTCACTGGGCATGGGAGGGGAAAGACAATGTTGTTAACATGAAGATTAAGTGAAAATGAGAGTAAAACAGTCATCAGAGTGGCATGTGTGAAAGTCACCCAAGAAAACTTTGAAATAAAGACAATTTTAATGGTGTACTTAGATCTGGTAATCATTAAAACTCCTTGTGCCTCTGACAGTCCATCTCATCCAACCAGCATCATAATTTTTTAGAAAAAAGATGCTTTATACAAGGTATATTGTCAGGCTCTGGGTTAACTGAGAACAGTTACTGGCAGCATACAAAGAATTCATGATGAGGTGCAGAGCTAACGACAGTCTTGGCTGCGGCCTTTATGTGTTGTAAGTGTAAATATTATAATTATAAAAGAGGAGGACAGTGAGAATCTTTTTATTTACAAGGAACTCCAACTCACACTGGTAGATAGGGGATCTGCAAAGCAACACACCACTACTGAGGTCAGGGGGAAGCAGGCACGTGCTGAATTGTTCTATAGTGCATGATATTGTTGGAAGCATGAAACTCTTACATAAAATGTAAACCGGGTGCCTGGAGACCTGTTATTAATAAAGACCAACAGCCATTTCTTTGAGATATCAGAGGCATTGACTCTAGCAGCCTGGGTAAAATCCAAACTGGCAAATACTTATCAGAGGCATACAAAGCATTCATAATGAAATGCAAAGCTGGTAGCAATTCAATTTTGGGGGTATTTTATTACAGACATCAATATGAGCTTATCTGAGTGGAGTAAGTACACATACTTTCAAGTAAAATTAGACATCATATCCCAAGAAGGTGGAAGAAACATCACGTCTGTCTGCCTTGCTAAGTGAAAGTGATCACATTTTATAGATAAGTCTTTTATATTGAAAGGATGTGAAAATGCATGTTCATATAGATGTTTGGATTGAAATAATGTATTTTCCCTGAAATGCTTAAAAAGAAAAATATGCAAATTTAGGCAAGATATAGAAGGTATTGGGGAAAAACACAATTAAAAAATAGGAGAATCTCTCTTTTACTATTTAATTAGATTTCACATATCTCTACAAGGTACATTATTCTCCATATAACATCCCTCAACAAAATACAATTTCTCTAAATTCTTCCTTTACTTTCAGGGAAAACTATGTATTGGGGCCACCCAAATTGATTTAGATGTCCAGATGAGCCATAATCTAAGGCTGTCTATTTCTCCAACAACCTAAGCCCAGTCAGCTGCGTATGCTCAGAAATAAACTAAATAACAGCTAGATATTTAACTGAGACTTAAAAGCCATCAGTAATCACGAGTTGAGGAAAGGGAGGCTCCACCAAAACTCCCAAGAAATATCATACTAAAGCTAAGCAGAACAGTCTAGCATTTTTTTTTCTTTTTTTTCTTCCCCCTGTACAGATGACAGTCACTATTCAGATTTAAGAAATTCCACGTTTCAGTCTCACCTCAGGCTGAGTTGATACAGATGCACAGCTTACTTTTCCAGGAGATGATCCTAACCTCAGTAGATAAGGCTCTTATGCTGCATTAAATGCAAGATTTCTGGAATAAAAGTAATCCAAAAGTGAGGACCCTAACTACAAAATCCTGTGAGATGATGAACTCAGGGACTTGTTCCCAATAAAAGAAAATCTTTCCTTTTTATTTCAGTTCTTTCATCTCTGACAAATATTACCCAGCCTTTCTCTGACCTTCATCACAGATGTAATTTGTTAACATTTATAGCAAGGCAGATGGGTCTGCCAGTCTTTCATAGAAACTTTGTCATTCTGCATTTTGCAAGGGCTGAAAGGCTTTTGGAAATTAGAAATGTCACCTACAACGTCAAGCTGAGTTAAATGTCCTTTCCTGTTCATTCTCACTTACCCACTTAGCCTTAGAGCTTTTACTATCTGCTGCCCTTCTGCAGCTACAGTGGTGCTCTTGTTGACAGGAAGAAGTGACAAGATGTGTAGGCATGGAAGCCAATGAGGTTCTGAAGGCAAACAAAAGATCAGCATTTGAACTGACAGCAGCAAGAGCTTTGAAATAATCTGGTTAACTGAAGAGTTTCAAGGGAGGAAAATCTATGTGTGTTGGGAATATGCTAAAATGGTTGTGATGCCAACAGTCCAGAGACGTAAATGAAATTTATGAGTCATTGAATATCTCAGGTGAATTCTGGCGATTTGCTGAAAAACACAGCTGTTCTGTATTTGGGTGCTTTAGGCACAGTACTCCCACTCAGCACTAGCTGTCTGCATTGTCTCTCTAGTATCTCTCTGATTGCCCTTAAGGTTAACAAATTCATGACTAGTGATATGGTTGCAAATACAACTGCAATCCTCAGGGTGTGAATGAGGTCAGGATTCCAGATATGCATTAGTAAAAGAGTTAGTGATAAATCTAAATGAAGAAAGGCAGACAAGGAAGCATTTTTATGTGTATTTTATTAATGAAATGTTGAGATAAGAGAGTAAGTCTAGGTCTGTACTATGTTGTAAACACAGAGCTCTTGCAAGCTTGCATTCTAACTTTGTTTTGAAGCTCTCAGGATGAGTCTGTGACCGTGAGTGGACAATGAGCAAACTTGTCAACACAGGAAGACAAAAAGCTTAGCCCTGCTTTATCCTTCAGGGCAAGCTGAAAGGTACGCATTTCCCCTGTATCTGTGAGTCTCATATGTCAGAATTATTTCCATTGTCATCATATGCTATAGTTTCTGAAGAGGTTAGAAATTATCCCAAATGGGCTGTCATTCTAGAATAAGATATTGTGTCTAGTCTCAGTCAAGAACTAGAAACATAAAGTCCATTAAACAGCTAGATTGTTCAGATATTTGTCATATATGTTTTTAATGTATAGACCAAGATATAATTTTAGGGTTCATTGAAAGATTCATTCCTCAATTGGCAATGCTTAATGGCTACTAGATATAGGGGTGCATACATTTCCATCTCATTGGAAAAAATGATATATAAATTAAATGCAAAAGAGATGGCACCTAGTACAACAAAAAGCCATTTACTCACCTAGAGAATGGAAGCACCGTCTGCTCTATTTAAGATAATGGGCAGAGAGTGTCCTATTCAGAAAAAGAAAAATGGCATTTGGTGGGGAAAAAGTGAGACAGTTCTGTTCTTCCTTTATAATTTGAGGTATAGATTAGGTAAGCTAGTATATTCTCCCCAGCTGTGGGTACTGAGAACAGTATTAATTTAAACTAACTTTATAGAATAGATTCATTTAACTAAACATAGATTTCTGTGTTCAGGGGGGTGCCCTAATGTATTCAAGTTATTCAAGTAATGTTCACATGTGGCTTCTAGACTAGGCACAGAGCACAGAAGGTCATTACGCTTCCAGGCCAACAGCTGGAAATAAGGAATCCACAAGGCATTTTTCCAGAATGGAATCCCTTCTTTAATACGTCCCCCATGCAAATACTCTACCCCTGAATTTACCCAAAGATCCCAACATGTCAATGGATATAAGTAGGCCCAACTAAACACTGAATTATCACACTAAGACGGGAGGAATTGCATTTTAGAGATGCATCTTTCTCCTGACTCACCTAAAAGGGAGCTTCAGGTGATAATTTTACATATAGGGATGGTGTTCAGCTCACAAGTTTAGGGTTTTATATGTGGATGTGCAGTTCGGCACTGGAACACCAAAACATAGGTGTCTACGAGTAGGTGAATACAAGCCTGCAGGGGGACAATCCTCCTGTTACAGTCAATAGAAGTCTAGTTATTACACTCACTGGAGCTCGGTGGCAAGCTCAGCTCACTCTGAAGTAGGTATGGTTCAGATGCTGCAGTATGAGCTGGTACATTCCACCTCACCTGCATTTGCAGATCTTGTGTTGTTTCTGTCAGCTGTATAAGGATGTCTCAGACTCCATGGGACATCTCTAATAGTACCTGGTGCCATTTTTTACGCAACTGACCTGTGTCCCCAGTGGCTGGTGGGTTGAAATCAGTTTAGTTCTCCACAAACCACAATGGGAGGTGAGACCCCAAATGCACCTGTAGGCATGTTCATTTAGGTGTCCTAACCTTGAAGTCAATCCTTGCTTTGTGCTTGCTCAGCTGAATCCTGTCATGCAAGCTTGTCCCAGGAACATTGCCCTCAAGCCTTGGCTTCACAGAAAGCAGTCTGGAAGTCTTGCAATGCTTCAATAGAGCTGAAAACCTTTAAGATTCTCTCAACTCCAGCTTTAGGGCTACACGGTTTAGAGCCAGCAGAGTTGTGTGAAGACACATATAACACCTCACTGCTGGATATGCTGACCTAGACCTGAGGCAGTGGTGTGTTCATTTAAATAGGATTTTGCTCTTCAAGAAGGTGAGCAGGCAGAGTTGAAAAAAGATGGAAAAATGCTTATAAAGATTATAGTGGCATTAAGGCAGAAAACTGGTCAAGAATACATTTCTGTGATTCCTTCTAAGAGTGAAGGTGCTGACACACGTGGACATTTATTTCATTAAAGGTACTTCCCCAGTGGCAGAGATCTGGTTGTTCCATAACAAGCCAGTGTGCCCTAGGACTGAACCACCGGAAACCAGAGCTGTCGGAAGAAAACACCTGCTATTCATCAAAGAACCACTGAATCCATGAAGTTTTGGGATGACATTCTTTATACTATTTGGCATTTTTATGTTCTGTCTCAGTGGAAAAAAAAAAAAATCCCATTAGCTTTAGTTTTCAGTGAGAAGAAAGGGAAATTTTCTTAATAAAAGAATGACTTTGTCTTAGAAGAAATGTATTAGGAAAGCTACTTTGCTACTGCTGTTTCATCTGTATCTGTTGAATCTTCTGTACTGTACATCCTCACTCTAAATTTTCTTAGAAATAGATACATAAGTAATGCAGGAAAAAGCAGCAACATGACTGAAAGCTGGAACACAGGCAAGACAATTGTTTTCATTGTATCTTTGCTAAAGTACATTAATCTTGCAAAAGCAAAATGTTATTAACGGTAATTTGAAAGAAAGAAGTAGGTTACTTTCAAACTGATTTATTTCTCTGGGCAGCGTCACTGTATGCTAGTGCATTTACAGCTACGGTTCAAGGACAATAATGTATGCAATTGCTGGCAACCCAGGTAGCCAGCCATACTTTCAGACTTGATAGGCAAATGTCCATTTAACATGACTTTTATTTTAAAAATAGTTTCTTTGTATTTTCAACATCTGTTGACAGAGCCCTAAATATGGGAATTATGCTAAATTTTTGTTCTGACTGCTACGCTTTTGTGATATGATCTATTGCAGAAATATCAAGTGGAAATTGGATCAGGAAAGCAGACTTGCAATTGTGAGCTATCAAAACGATGTAGTGATGTTATACAGTATAGTTTCAGAAAATACAGTGGCAAAAAAAGATTGCTGTGGTTGTTTTTAAGTTGTGACAGAGTAAAAGTGGGAACTTGCAAGGCTTCTTTTTCCAATATTGCAATTTGAAATTTTATGTTGACCAGGGTAATACATATTTATTTGATAAACAAATCTAAATGTTTATTTGTTTGTTTATTTTTAGAAGAACCATGTATAAGAAAGGTTATTTAAACAAGAATATCAATATCTGGAGTTATTTTTCTTCTAAGGCAAAGATCTTGAAAGGGACAGTGCATATTTTGCCAATGTTCTGCATGGTATTGGAGACATTTAATTCAGTCACTACGTTTGCTTCACTGAATAGCCATGTAAATGATTATCATCTAGTCTATCAGTTTAATAACATTTGTTATGAAACTGTGGGTTTCAGCTCCAATCCTGCTACAAGGAGACCAGGTGACAGCAAATTAGTGGAGCTCCATGCTGGCACATCTCATAGCAGGACTGCTACCTGTAAATGAGGGGATCAGATGTCACTGGAAGCAGAAATTGGCCAGGAATATGTCATTATGAATGTGGGGCTGACTAGATTAAAGCAACTAGTTGCTTATCTGGACATCTATCTACATTATTTTCCAATGGGCCAAGCATATAGATACAATGAGGGCTCACAAAGAGTTATTTCAGTCTCTTCTGACAGCTTTCCTTTGTGCTTAAAAGGAAAACATGATGCTCTATGTGCATGAAAATTCAGTTTAAATGTAGCTAAAGCTATGACAAAAATCATGAAATAAATGCAAAGTTCACCATAGAGTCACTCTTAAGATAAAAATCCTACTAAATTTTAGTCAGGACCTGCAGTGCTAATAAAGCAGGATGTCATTTCACAGTAGAATAAGTAAAATTGAACAGTTTTTAATCCAATTTACATTTGAGAGAACATGTGTTAGGTCTGCTCTTAAAACTTGGCCCATTCCCACTCAAAATGCTCACCAGTCTGTTATACATTGTCTCAACACCACATTCCCTGTTTTTCTTTGTGTAACTACTGGGTCTGGGTAAAGTCTAGTCAGAATTTTACAGTTCTGAATCTATCCAAGTCTCCCTTTGTGAAGCAGGGGCTCCAGGGAAGATTTCCCAGTTCAGCATTTGGACTTTTAAAATGAACCCTCCGATCCCATGCTCTCTCTAGAATTTGGTTATCTCCTATTTAAGAGATTCTGCACTAATCTCTCCTTGGACAATGTAGCAGAAAAGCTGAAAATACAGCAAAGGGATGAAATTTTAATTACTGTCATCGGGTTCAGCACGAATATTTTTCCTGGACAATATCATAAACTTGCATTAGATTAGATGAGATTAGATAAATTGAGCTCATGACATAAAATGAAGTTGCTGAATTAAAAAATGGAGATAATTGTATAACTCAAAGGAGTTTGTAATTTGACAGAGATGTATTTCACTGCTGCATTGCTTCCTGTATTTCATTCATTTTGGACAGGGATTTTGTAGCATATGCTGCAGGTATTGTTTCAAAGTTTCTGGATGCTGGACACAAAAGTATCAGGATTATTGATAATAGGAGCAGGCATTTAATTATCCTACCACACATATTCAGGGACGTGATCTTGAAAGAAAGAAAGGACGACATATAGGCTCTCTCTGAAGAGTCTCTTCCATAGCAGCTTCATTAAATGCAAATGGGACTTCAGGGAGGATGCTAATCAGTGTAAGGAAAGTTATGACAATATGCTCTGAAAGCAATTGTGCAAAGGTATGTTGCAGCAGTTAAAGAAGAATGAGAGCTTAGCCCTTATAAAATCTTAAGTATTCTTAGTTTTCTGTCCCTTGTTTTTCCTTGACCATATTTTAACCTGTATTTTTTTTTTTTGCTAATAGTTACAGAAGCCTTTTTTTTTTTTTTTAAAGTCATAAAGCAAATACTTCAAATTATATAATTCCCCAGTTTAGCAGCATGATTTCTGCAGATATGCATATTTCCTCGTCTATTTGCAATGCTAACTGAATGGGGAAAAGAGGCAGTAACCTGGTTTATCCTGGAAACAGCAGGTAGCTTGATCTATTTTTACTGCAGATCATTTCCCAGGACACTGTGATTCTTATATTTTTAATCAAATGTGTGAATCGAAAACTGTGGTGTGACCTTTGGAAAAGACACTGCAGGACATCAGCTGAAGCTGTGAATAGTTTAAGCACAAACAGGAAGTTGACTTGGTTGTTCTATAACAAAAGGCTGAGGTAATTTATGGAGTAGGAGTTGCAGTTTCAAAACATTTTTAATTGCTACATTTGATCTGCTATGCAGCATTGTGTGACAACAGCAAAGAATGAAATGTCAGTGCCCATGTTCCAGCATAAATTTATACAGTGTGAAAGCAAAGAACCCTGTTGATTCCAGCTTTTCTTTTTCTAAGTGTTTCTATTGCTTTCAGGTTAAAGAGGGAGTGCAGAGGCCCTTAGTCTCGCTAAACATTTAAGTAGATACATAACTTTGTTCTTATTAAGTCTGCCTATGATGGACAGAAATTTTGATATACAGAGGAAGTGAAATGCAAAGGGATCTCACAACTTACGTAGATAATAGAGAACTCTTTCTCTGAGATAACTCTTTCATAAATGGGTCGCTATCAGGACCGAAATATATTAATACCCACTCTCTTTGCTTTTAGTTCATTATGTTGGTAACTTAGGCCCTGTACTGGGTCTGGTTGGGATCTAAATTTTTGTGCCCATACAGTTCTGTGCTCTGCACTAGACCAGCACTGGTGTCACACCAGTGTTTTGCCTATTGCTGAGCAGTGCTGGCACAGCACCAGGACTCCCTCTAAATCCCCAAAGCTAGTCAGCTGGGGGTGGGCAAGAAGGGACGTCACCAGGGCAGCAGCCCTAAACCAACCAAAGGGATATTCCATGCCATATGGTGTCACACTCAGCAATAAAAGGTGGGAAAGAGTAAGGAGAGGGAGGGCTCTTGTTATGATGTTTATCCTTCTAAACAACTGCTAGGCATATTGAGGTCCTGCTTCCTGGGATGTGGCCAAACATCATTCATTGATGGAAAGTAGAGAATATTTTTTTTTCCATTTTTATTTTAACCCTCCTCCTTTCCCTTTAATAAATTACCCTTATTTCAACCTTTTTTTTTTTTTTTTTCCCCAGCATATTTCTTTTTTCCCCTCTCTTTTGAGGAGGGGGTGTGAGAGAGTGGTTGTGGTGGAATTTGCCTGCCCAGCAGGGTAAAAACACTACAGGCCCACAAAAAAAATCCAGGTTTCACTTACAAGAGGGAAGTTTAAGAGCTACTTAGGAATTAAGTCCTTTTATTTTTATTTTTTTTAATCTTGAAAATAATAATAATAAAAAATCCCATTGTCATATTTTATAGTGGATTATTTCCCAAAATTCAGTACTACAGTTATGGGCTCAAAGTGCCATCAAAATTTTATGGAAGATGTATTTTCACAACATGCCTTTCAAAATCTCTTGCCTATTTACTTCCTCAGAGGACAATATAACATGTGAGGAGCTGCGTGCTGCTTCTTGGTTATGTCTGTGCTATACATTGTGGGCGTCCAGGTCTTCTTGTAGACCATGAGAATGAAATGTAAATCTGTGAGCAAGCTCCTGTGTGCTTTCCAGAGACAACCATTTTGATCATTAGCAGGACCAGAAATGTGTGATCCAGTTGGCTATTTTCATGCAGCCAGTCGAAGGATTTACTACTAAAAAAGAATAATTGAATATGCCCTGAAATACCGTTTTCGTAAACAAGATGGATATTTTGAAGATATCAGTCATTAGTTATAGAATAACAAAATTCTTCTATGTAGCTATACAAATGTTTTCTGTTTCTTTGTCAGGCAGGAGTACCATTTAAATAGCATCACCAGAAGATGCTTGGAGGCATTAAATATGTGGGTGTTTCTACACTTATGCATATTTGTCATCCTCAGATTCCCCAGAAGAATTAAGCACTTTCCTGAATCAAAATTAAGTCTTTCCTTACTGATCCTGTTGTGTATATATATAGCTTTTCAAGTTAGTTTTTGCTTCATTATAAATGTTAGATGCAGTATTATCAGTGAGAAGTAAAGATAGCCTAGGCAAGAAGGTTTGCCAATAGAAACCTTTGCAATACAGCACTGTAGGTTGAACTACACATTTTTATCACTGTGTAGAAATTGCTTAGCTTTCAACAGTTAAAATTTACTCAGAATGCATTATTCAAAATTAAAGAACCTTTGCATGAATATTCAGCTAACATTTAAATGAAATAATTAAAGTTCATTATTTGATTTTTTTTTTTTTTGCATTATATTTTAAAATCCATTATTAATGTACAGTTTTAGATGTCAATATTTTGCAAGTAATAAAACTGGAAAACCCTGTCTTTTCATTATGGCATACATATGCTGCTCTACTGGCTCTTCAATTAAAACATCTATTTTCAGGAACACCTTTTAAAAACTTTAGTAAATGACTTAATAATAACTTGAAGTTATTTGCTTTCAGTAGTGTCATCGTGAAATATGTTTTAGGGCATCTTTCATATGAAAATTTTGTAACAAAAACTTATGTGATAAGTTTGTGTCAACAACTTAAAATATTTTTCAAGCTTAGAGTGTGGACAGTTTTTTAATCTGTTTCTTCTACGCTTATTTTAAGGATAGAACAGGAAACCACATTGGATGCTTTCACTTTCTGCAAGGACAGAAAGGCAGTGAAGAAAACTGACAGTTGGAAAAATGAGATGAACTACTTAGTAATTTTCAGCTCTTAAATAATTGCCATGATGCTGAGAAAAGCTTCTTCTTCAGATGAGTAAGTACAAAACAATGCACCTGCATTTTTCCCTGGAAAAAAAAAAAAATCACAGTAATAATTGTGTGTGTTGCCAGTAGTGAGGATTCTCATTCTCAAAATCCTGACTGCAGCGAGAATTTTAATAAAACAAGGAAATAAAGAAAGAAATGCAAAAAATAAAAAAGTAAAACAAAACCTTTGACTGCCTCCTCTTAAAGTGATCACTGCTCAGACAGGCTTATTGCTTTCTGTGCTGTGTTGCTGTTGAAGGGGAATTGTGATGACTTGTGGCTTTAGATTGTTTCTTGAAAATTGTGTAGAAATATAGGAATGAGAGGTTGTAGAGCAACCAATCACAAGTCCAGAGCTAGTCCTGTAAGAGCCATTGGCAAAATGTACGGCAAGTGCAGTGGAACATAGTCAGTCCCCATCATAGAGGGTGTGTTTTGTTTTTTTTCAGCTTTAAGGCTTCAAAGTCAGGAGGCAGAGGATGTAATTAAGGATATAACTTGGGAAAGAATACTAATCTTCCATCAAAAAATTCCAAAATAAGTTTGAAATGTCTTCTTTGTGGATGTCCCTACAGTAGTGGTCAGATTGTTAAAATGTATATCCAATTATTTCAGAACCTTGCTTCTTCTTCCATGCTTATCTTTCTTTTGTTCTCACCCTCATTCCTTCTTAGTGTTCTTCTTTCCTGAGTTCTTTGCCCTCTAGGTAAAGCATTATGTGGTACTGGACAAACAGAATTGCTCAAACAGAATGAAATGTCTCTTCAGAAAAGCTATCCTTACAACATTAAATTTAGATTAGGATTTTTATTGGAAAATAAGGCAAGGTCTGACCAAGCACAAAGGCCGTTTTTGTTGGCCACAGAATTACTTTAGACTCTATTCTGATAGTACTACCTGGAATCAAGTTTCTTAAGTCATATAAAAATAGCAAGGACCACAAATAGGAAAGGATAAACATATTAGGGTCGGCTGTTCATTTTCTCATTGAAAAGAATTTCTAGTTTATTTCATTCTCAGAGAACTCATTTTCCAAAGTCAAAAATGTTCAGTTTAGCTCCTTTTGAACACTGGATTTCAGAATCCACTTCTGAGGAGAAGGTCACCAAACTGACAGCAGTGGACTCAAGCAATCCAGAGCTTCCCTTCAGCCTTCTGCAGAGTCAGGAGCCTTTAAGTCTCAGATGTATTTACTCAAGCAGATGTTCCTGAGTTACTTTCCTGATTCTGCAGTAGCAATCTCTGGAGTCCGAAGTGCCTCTATTTGAAGTGTGGGTTTCCTGTAGTTGGAGTGTTTCCTGACTCTGAAATATTAAACTCTAACTTGCCAAAAGCTCTTACAACTATGAAGGACAAGTTAACATTTCTGAAACAAGAGAGAGACTGGGAATACCTGAAAAGTGTAAGTTCAAAGTTGATTTTAGTGAACAAAACCAATGAAGACTGGTTAAAATAATAATAATAATAATTAAAAAAAAAATAGAAAACATACAGGAAACTACATAGTATTCATTTTTTTTTCATTATTATGTGGGATACATTTTTTAAAAAATGTCTCACTGGATAGAAATTCTATATTTCAAGCATTTCAAGAACATAGAATTCACAAAGGAATTAGTCTCTTTATGAATAATAGTGTGTGACTAAGAAAAGACAGAACTACTTCTGTGTGTAGTCAGATCTACCGCATTAAGTCCTCAAGTACCTCCCATCACAGCTGGATACTACTGATTTGTTAGACTACAGAATTTGAAAAGATGACTTTAAGGTACCTTGTAACAATTGCCAGGGCTATCCAGTCCCTTAGTGAAATACTTTTTCAAAGAATATTCCATTTCTAACTCCTCTACTGTTTCTAAATATGTTGTTTATATTAAGAAATTTATAATCCTAACATTTAGCATTTGGCAGTGAAATATAATGTTCTTTAGGTTAATTATCCTTCCTACACACAGTGGCAAGTGCTATAAGATATAGTATATAGAACAGCTGGGACATTTTTGTGGGGGATTTTGAAAACCTAAATCTCCTATGAGTAATGTGAACAACACTTAGTGTGGGAAATGCTTTATGACAGTATAGAATGATGTGTTTAATTAGATGCTGTATGCATAAAGTATATACTCCCTCAGCCACATTACAGCCTGTTCCTCATTAGTGACTCTGCTCTGAAAAAGAAGAAATTCAGCTTTTGCAAACCAACTTCAAGCGGTCACCACCTTATGGAACAGATCCAGCTCCATTGAAATAATTGGACTGACTTCCATTGACTCTAACAGAACTTGGATCATGGCCCCCAGCCAGTAATTTCAGTTCAGCAAACTTGCACAGATTAAAGGGAGGTTCTTAAAGCATGTTAAAGTCCCAACAGCTGAACATTTGTTAAGAAAGCTTTTTGAATGACTCTAAATAAGTCAGGAGCCTGATTGTATGATCCTTTCCTGAACAAAATCCCCAAATTTAGTCAAGCAGGGTAGACAACTAAAGGACAAAAAGGTAAATATTGAAATATGCAGTGGAACAAGTCATATTGCTAATTTGATTTTGCTTTGCTCTTTTACATAACACATGGTTTCTAGATCTGGAAAGAAAATGTAGAAACTGAAAGCACCTACTGAAGGATGATTTTTTATCAGTTTAGAATTAGGATGACAGGATGAAGCCAACCAAAACCTCCATGCCTTAAGACAGAAATGAGAGAGGAATAGTCATAGTTTATATCTTCGGGGGGTTTCACACAGGTCTTTTTTTCCCTTTGCTGCCTGTCTCTTTCTTATGTGACTGTTTTTTATGATTGTATGACTCCTTTCTTTCTACAGGTTCCATCTACAACTGATTCTTAGACTGACAACCAAGGTAAATTAGAAATTATTTTAAAAAGTTACTATGTGATTTAAATCTTATTTTATTTTAAAATCCTTAAAGATATAAAAGTGTGTTTGACCCATGGACTTTTACAGACTCCCTGTACTCTAAAATATATACTGGGGTAAATTCCAGCAATGTCCACTTTTATACCAGTCATTTGTAGCAACATGAAATTATTTTCAGTAGCTGGAAATATTCAAATATAAGTTACTACATCATCAGACCCACTCCTGGAAGTGCTTTCTTGGTTTCACTTCATTTCTTTTGTTATATTTTCAAGGAGGTCTACAGAAGAGAGAAAACAACTCCTAAATGTCCTAAGAAAAACAGGCTACTTTTATGTGACTAGAGTCTCATTTTGAATCATGATTGCTCTCTTTTGAACAAGGAAGGAACAACAAGAGAGGCAGAGATATTAAGTGTCTTACTTGTCAGAAATACCTAAATGAGATAGCACACTACAAAGTGATTAAATATACTATTGCTCTAAGTCTAAATCTATAAAAGCTAGGATAAAGATTCTATACCTGAAGCACTTGACTGGAAAACTTAAACAACTATTCACAGGTTGGCATAAAGGTGGAAATGTATTTTTTAAACATAATAGCTGAAATAGAATGTGCTTTTTGTTGTATTAGAGGCAAAGGAAGAAAATTATAGCCATCTGAATCTTCTGACAGGTTTGTTTTTGAATATAGTGGGATTGCACTTCCACATAAAATATTGACTAAGTAAAGGACATAACGTCCCTGAGAAAGTTGAAGACCAGTTGATGGTTCTTTGGAGATCTGCTGAGAAGAATGAGATCTGCTTTAGCTTTCCAGCTGCCCTAGAAATCATACATGTAGTTCCCAACAAGGTGTCTGAGCTGCCTAAGGCTATCTTTGAAGTCAGTAGACGAAGAGTGGCACACTGGACAAAGAAGGGTGCATAAATCCCACACATTAAGTTATCTGGAACTCATCAGCTGAGATAAACACATTGCTGTCTTTCTCTCTTGATTTAGTGTAAAACTGATTCTTTTTGTTTATTATTATTTTAAATTTTATACTGTGGATTTCATTAGCACTGTAGAGAATAGAGTTTAGAGCCCCAAGGATTTTGATGCTGTCCACAAAGTTTTTCTTTCACAGAAATACATTCTCCAGGTATGCAAATTAAATTTGGCCATATCCTCCCCACAGCTCTGCTGCAGGATGCTATAAATCAAGAGAGAGAGACCCTCTTGTGACTCCTGTTGCCCTCTCCCCACCTCTTGATCTCCCTGTCAGCATGTTAAGTCATGCCATAGACAAAGCTAAGATAGGTACCCAGCATAAGGTGAAGCAGACATCTACCCCACTCACTTGGTCATTCTCAAGGCCAATACAAAACATACTGGCAATGTTTTTCTTTACCTTGGCTTTCTGGAGCCTGGAGCCAGATATTACTTCCATATCTTAGATTCTTACTTACCTGCAGTGTCTGCCAGACAGGTCTCAAATGGATTATTGTGAAAACAGGAAAATAAGAGGTGGTAATGATAAAGATAGGGGCAATAAATCAAAAAAATGGTCTTGCTGTAACATATAGAAATACTTTGCTGGTGCTGTTCTCAAATAACACATAACAATCTGCCTCTGGACTGAGATGGCTCAGCTGCCATCCAAGGATGTTCTGCCCCTTCATTACTGCTAGGACCAGCATGCTCAATGTGCTGAGGATGTGCTTGAATAAGCATATGAGTCAACCCATCTGCTTGTAGAGAGGTCCTGGCAGAGCTGGCACAGTTCTTATAGGTGTGGATCAAATACAATTATCAGATTTTTCTTGACAGCTTTTTGTAAGTGAAAGAAGTGTGAAATGCTTTGGCAATTTCTCCCCATTGTACTGCTAGTGTACTCCAGAGGATGCATGAGTACAGTGTGGTGTGGCTGGAACGGGAAGTTGATCTTAGATATAATTTAACAGACCTGCATGGACAAAACGTTGGAAATGATCTCTCACTCAAGCTGCAACACAGAAATCTATGATCTGCATCATTCAAGGCAGCAAAAGACCAACATGCCTTTTTATAAATCATTGCTTTCAAAAATAAATAAAACTCCCATGTAAATAATGAAATCAGTCAAAAAAAAAAAATAAAAAATGAGGCCTTCTGATACCTTCTGATACCTTGGAAGATGATACTGATTTTCTAGTAAATTAGAATAACAAAGATAAGAAAGCAATGAAACAACAGCAGCATGTCAGAAATCAACTTTAACAGATGAATAAAAAGATGAAAATGTATGGTGTATGGCATAATATCCTTGGCTATAGTTTGACAGGACTGCTTGGAGGACAACAAAACAAACGAATATCATTTTTCATTTTGGCTGCCAGGACCACCATATTTCAGGAACTCAGAATTTGCAATGACACTTTTATATTTTGGTGATTCTGATCCTGAGAGATCAGAGGAGAAGAGATGGGCTGAGTAGACAAGAGAGACACAGAAAGAACACAACAACAGCTTGTTCTCCACCAGCCCTGACTGATCCTGAGTGTTGGTTACAAGAAGAGTCTTGTTCCCTTGGTGTAACTCTCAGCCTTGTTCTTCCTCATCTTTCTCCCTCCTCCCTCCAACATTCTCTGATTAAATAGAATCTGGCTTAGCTTGGCAAGTCTCTCCCTCTCTCTCTCTCTCCCTGTGACTAGAAAGGCAGCTAACAGTAATGTCTTAAACAGCTTGACATTGGTTCAAGCTTGCCAGGTCTTGGAGTGGCTGATAAGACTATGTACTGTGTATGTCTTTCTCCAGCAGCAAGGTTACAAATCAGAGTCAGCAGTGCAAACGCAAGCTTTTTTTTTTTTTTTTTTTTTTTTTTTTCTCCCCCTTTTGGCTATTGTCCCTGCTCCCTTTGTGTATGTGCCTGCCCTGTTTTATTTTCTGAGGGAACAGGCCCAGATTCCAAAAAAAAAAAAAAAAAAAAAAAAAAAAAGACAAGATAGAAGCTCCAGCTACTTTTTATTTTCTGTTTCTCTCCCAAAGGGGGAGTTAATATCATCTTAATACTGCATAAAAAGACACTATCAACTGGGGAATTTTCCTCATAAAAATGTTCTGCAGCTAAAAGAAAGGGGAATAAAGGATGCTGTTAAAATTAAAGCCTCCTTGGATACTTTACATAACAAATACTTTGTCTGCTTGTCTTCTCTATCTTTCATAAAAGATTTAAAAGATTTTAATGGTTATCATTTGCTGTAAGACTTAGTGGACCACGTATCTTCACATCCAGCCCCAATCACTGTTTAGCTACTCTGAGCTCTACAAAGATAAAGTCTTTTGCCTATGAGCTCTCCAAAGTACAAGCAAATCAGAAAACACATCCAATCCCCCTCCCTATCTAAAGTGTTTTGTGGATTTCAGAGCATCAAGAACTGTTTCAAAGAGTATTTAGTGCATACATGTAATTTTTGCAGTCTTGACAGGTGTGTTTCTATCTTCCTAGAGGAAAATCACAAAGCCCCTTCAGCTCCTTAGCTGGGGAAGTTGTCATGGCTTGACACTGTGCTCTACAGAAATGATTATCTCCTCTTAACAAGGGCTGGTGTGACTGAGCAGCTCCCATTGTACAGTGGCATTTCATTGGCTAGAAAGGTTGTCATGCATCACTGGTGTCTATGGTGTTTCAATTCAAAGCTTCGCATTATCTCTAATGACATAATAGCAAAGGGCTCCTTGGGATGAAGGGAAGTGAAATGTGAGGCTGTATCACCATGGCTTGTGACAGCATGAGGTTTGCCTACTGTGCAAAAACACAGGTTATCAGTGCAAACCTAAAATAGAAAATGCAGATATTTAAGAAAATGTATAATTTATACACAGAAGCTGCTGGAGAAATGGAGGGAGGTTGGGGGAAGAAAGAAACAAAGAAAGAAAAAAATAGCTCTGCTTTTCTCTTGTCTAAGTGATGTAGAGTATAATGACATTTCTTTTCTTCATTTTTTTTTCTTCTTCTTTTTCCCAAAGGGCAATAGAAACCTACAGAACTGTGACTCATCTTTGAAGAAGTTTTCAGTGCTGAAACCCTACCAAGATGCTTTTCTCATAGAAGACACTACTTTGTCCCTTTCACAAGGACAAATAGAAATCAACAGTACATAAGTCAAAAACACAAATAGAAAAGCAGTAATTCAGTATTTTGACATACTTGTCTAAAAATGAATAAAAACTCTTTTACTGAGTTAAACCAGTCAGGTATAGGGAGTGATCAAAACTGAATACTGAAAATAAAATATGATTTGCACACAAGCACACGTATATGTGTGGCATCGCACGACTGGCATCCCACATGTGATGATCTGCAGCTTAAGGGCTTCCACCGCCAGAATGATATTTTTTCACCAAAGTGTTTGACTCTCACAATGCCAGTTACTGGGTACGGATGATATGATCAGTTAGGATAAAAGGCAATGCTGGTGTCTCATATGGGGGAATCAGAAACCGAGTAAAGAGGAACTATAATAAAATCATAGTATGGATGTGGAAGGGAATGTATTTGTACAGCACTTTCTTATGGATCTGGTAGACAGGCAATACCATCCATAAATTCTTCATTGTAGAAAACAGAAAATTTCCAGCTGATGGTGTGGACGTTCACAGACTACTGAACTGTGTTTTTCTGTTATTCTATATCAGAGAGGAAGATGGAAGAACATGTGACTAAGAAATGTCTAGAAGCAGATGACAGGAAGAGTTCATTTTTTATATGCTGCTCCCTTGGCCTTTTTAAATTGGGAAGGGATCCCAGAGATACCCAGCCACGTAATCTACAGCAGATAAATTGCTCTGAGCCCCAAAACAAAGGTTAAAGCATAAGATGTGAAGATGAACTCATTTCTTTCCATACTCAAGGGGCTATTTCTGAGTCAAACTGCACTTCTGTAGGCAGGAGCTGTAAAGGACTCAAGACACATGAAACGTCGTCTCAACTGCTTACAGCAATAGTCAGGATTTTGGAAGCAGATTGCAAGTCTGCCCAGGATGCTAGTTGGTCTTGGATTGCCTCCATTCTCATCATCAGGGTTCTTGAGAGGGCAAAATAGCAAGGGGAATACATTTGTTTACACTAAAAAATCTGTCTGATTTTAGCATATTTAAAAGAAGCAAAGAAAAGAAGTAGCCAGCATGTGGCTTCTCCTATTGAATGGAACTGAATAATTTACATCCCACAAAGTCACAGAACGGAAAATGTGTTTTAAATGGGGTCTTTAGGTTTGCTTTTAAGGCAGGAGTGCCCTGTTGTTTTTCTTTGCATATATATATATATATATATATATATATATATATATATATATTTAAATCTGTGTATGTGTAATCATGACTGCGAGACATCAGCTTTCAAGGTGAGTAGTCTACTTAAGCTGCTTAGCAGGATGCATGGACTATCAGCTGTGGTATCTTTGCTTCTTCCAGTCCACAGTCACACCTGGTCACAGGATGCACTGCAAATGGCAGGGTGAGTTCTGCAATGACATCGGAGAGTAGCAGGACTCAGCTGACTGAGCTGACATGGGAGTAGGAACCTGCTCAGCCTCTGTACAGTGGAAGGACAAGGATTTAGTGAAACAAGTGAAGCCTAAAACAACGGAACAGAGGCTGTGGGACTTAATGGAAGATAAAGTTGTGCAGAGCAAATCTTTCATTTTGTAATTTAATGTCCTCCAGATTGCATGAATGGCCCTTGCAGGATGCAACTCTCCCCTGGCCATGAAGACATCCCTTTTTCATGAGTAGTTTACTAGTTTCATCTACAACATATTAAAAAAGGAACCAACCAAATATATCACAATTCAGATTTTCTTGGGTCCTGCAGTCACTTGACAGGAAGTTTCTTTCTGCAATACTCAGTTGAGCAAAGTGGCAGTTCCATGTAAAGGCTGTCTTTCATGGACCTTCAACCCACGGGGTCTCAGGGACCATTCATAAAGTTCACCTTGTTCATTTCAGAGTCACTCTGAAACAAAGAAACTTTTTCAGAAATTACAAAGGAAGTGATCCTCATTGGGCTCTGATGTCTGGGGCCATTCAGAAATATTAAAGCTCCTTAGAGGCCTTATGGTAATGGTTTCTTCCTGAAAGACATATAAAATATGAACTAAACATGTTTTGGCTCTTTACAGCACAAGGCCTGCCCACTGAGCTAAACACAGGTTGTCCATTCAAACCCAAAATAGAAAATGCTGATATTTTGGAAAATCTATAATTTATACACAAAAGCTGGGTTAAAAAATTGTGATGTTTCCAGTATCTAAGTAGAATCTAATTATCCTAAAAAAATAAAAAAATAAAAAAATAAATTGGCAGCATCCAGCTACCCAGCTGTGAGTAGCCTGTGACTCATTTCAGTCACACAGAGGATGTTTGTCTGGTATGTTTTCCATTTGGAACGCAATATATATTGTGATAGTCCAGGATTATTGCAGGTCAAAGCATGGTGCTAGAATATACAAACTTGATTTGTTTTTCCAAGTATTTCTCATAAGCATCTTTCACTTCTAGAACAGAAGCCACAAACAAGCCAACAAGAGAAAATAATGCTTCTGTCATTAATAATTTCATTGTATATTTAGTGCTGGCAATAAGAAAAATATTGGTAGGCATGAAGGTGGAATTAAGTTTATTATTTAGCCACATGTAGTATCTGAGATATGATAATTCAAACTTCCAAACTGCATGTAAACCTGACCATGAAGAACCCTCTCTATCATGGGCCTTTCTAGCATTTTGGCTGTGTTCCTGTACCAGCTGAGTACTATTTATTAAAGTGTTGATGTGATGCATGCCTTATTTTCTACAAAGTAAAAAGAAACAAACTGTTTGTTTTATTTAGATTGCTACATAAGTATAGCATAACAAAGACTTCCAGTCAGTGCTTAAAGATTTAGAGTACTGAATGAATATTTAAAATATCTGTATTATTAATTATACCTTGAGCCAGTTCCTATTTTTAAATCCAGTAGATAAATAGCCTACTTGAACAATATATTTTAAAAGGGCATCTGAGGCAAAAATGGGAATGTAAAAGATGTAAAATATTCATATTTTATAATTTTACATATAAAAATATGAATACCATATGAGGTATTCATATTTTATTTTAATAATTGTCTTTTTTGTAATTATTAATTCCATTGTTCTTCTTTTCATTTTTCCTCCCATTTAGAAGCTGAAAAACCAAAGGGAAAAAGAAAAACAAAAATAAAATAATAAAAAAAATTTGTTTACCACTTCCATTGAAGAGAGGAAAAATGAAATGGAAAGTGTTTGCAACCTCAAAAGATGGTCATCTCTCAACAAAAAGAATGCAGCTAACAAATCACTAACTCAAGAAATACATCCATTTATATCAGTATTGTTACTGGATTTTATTCAGAGATTGCCATGCTCCACTGGCTAAAATTGCCGTCCATTTCTACAGTTTCAGGAAGTCAGGGAGAAAGGAGGGTAAAAGGGGGAGGAAGGCATTTAAAGAAACACCTTGGAACAGAAAAAGTACATCATAAAAATACTTATTTTGATAGATAATTCAAAAAGAAAACTGGGTAAAGTGGAATATTTTGCCCAGCCAACTTTCAAAACTTTCAATGTTATGATTTCATCAAAAGTTGAAAAATAATAAGCTACTCTATTAGCAGTAGAGATATGTATTC